GGGCTCTTTATTCTGTTCTGTTGATCCGTGTGTCTGTTTTTGTGTCAGAACCACACTGTTTTGATTACTACAGCTGTACAGTATCTCTTTTTTTCCCCCCATTGGAGCCCAACAGGGGGCTTGAATTCATGACCCTGAGATCAAGACCTGAGCTGAGATCAAGAGTTGGATGTTAAAAAAAAAAAAAAAAAGTTGGATGCTTAACTGAGCCACCCAGATGCCCCTGTAGTGTATCTTGAAATCTGGGATTATGATACCTCTAATTCTTTTCTTTTTCAAGATTGCTTTGGCTATTTGGGGTGTTTTGTGATTACACACAGATTTTGGAATTATTTCTTGTAGTTCTGTGAAAAATACTGTTGGTATTTTGATAGGGATAGCATTAAATCTGTAGATTATCCTGGGAAGTTTTAGCAATATTTAGCAATATTCTTTCTCCCCATCCATGAACATGGAATATCTTTCCATTTATATGTTTAATATTCAGTTTCTTTCACATTGTTTTATACTTTGCAGAGTACAGGTCTTTCACCTTCTTGGTTAAGTTTATTCCTAGGTATTTTATTATGTTTGGTGCAATGGTAAATGGGATTGTTTTCTTAATTTCTTTTTCTGCTACTTTATTATTAGTGTATAGAAATGCAACAGATTTCTGTATATTGATTTTATATCCTGGAACCTTACTGAATTCATTTATCAGCTCTAGAAATTTTTCGGTGACATCTTTAGACTTTTCTATATGTAGTGTTTTGTCATCTGCAAATAATGATAACTTTACTTCTTTATTGCCACTTTGGATTCCTTTTATTTGTGTGATTTCTGGTAGCCAGGATTTCCAGTACTATATTGAATAAAAGTGGTGAGAGTAGAATCCTTGTCTTGTTCCTAATCTTTTCCTAATCTTAGGGGAAAAGCTCTCAGTATTTTACTACTGAGTATGATGGTAGCTGTGGGTTTTTTATATATGGCTTTAGAGTTATGTTCCCTTTAAGCCTACTTTGTTGAAGGTTTTTATCATGAATTGATGTTGTAATTTGTTAAATGCTTTTTCTGCATCTATTGAAATGGCCATATGGTTTTTATCCTGTCTCTTGTTGATGTGAGGTATCATGTTGTTTGATTTGCAAATATTGAACTATCCTTGCATGCCAGGAATAAATCCCACTTGATTATGGTGAATGAGGTTTTGATGTATTGTTGGATTCTGTTTGTTAATATTTTGTTGAGGATTTTTGTGTCTATGTTCATTGAGATAATGGCCTGTAGTTCTCTATTTTTATAGTGTCTTTATCTGGTTTTGGTATCAGGGTAATGCTGGCCTCATAAAATGTATTTGGAAGCTTTCCTTCCTCTTACATTTTTGGAATATTTTGAGAATAGGTTTTTTTTTTTTTTAAGATTTTATTTATTTATTTGACAGAGACATAGAGAGCTCAGATAGGCAGAGCGGCAGGCAGAGGGAGAGGCTCTCTGCGGACCAGGGAGCCTGATGCTGGGCTCGATCCCAAGACCCTGGGATCATGACCTGAGCCAAAGGCAGACACTTAACTAACAGCCACCCAGGTGCCCCAAGAATAGGTTTTAACTCTTCTTTAAATGTTGGATAGAATTCACCTGTGAAGCCATCTAGTCCTGGACTTTTGTTGTTTGGAAGTCTTTTGATTACAGATTCAATTTCGTTGCTGGTAATTGGTCTGTTCAAATTTTCTATTTCTTCCTGATTCAGTTTTAGGAGGTTATATGTTTCTAGGAATTTATCCATTTCTTCTAGTTTTATCCAATTTGTTGGCACATAATTTTTCATAATAATCCCTTATAATCCTTTGTATTTCCCTGGTGTCAGTTGTTATTTCTCCTCTTTCATTTCTGATTGTGTTTCTTTGCGTTCTCTCTCTCTCTTTTTAATAAGTATTGCTAAAGGTTTATCAATTTTGTTGATCTTCTCAAAGAACCAGCTTCTGGTTTCATTGATCTATTTTTTTTTTTTTTTAGTTTCTATTTTCTATATTTGTACTCCTAATTTTTATTCTTCTTTCTTCTGTATAGCTTGTCTCTTAATGATCTTATGTTGGCCATATGACATTGCTGATATTTGACAGTTTTTGATTTGTAAAAAGAACAGAGTCATTTCACTCTCTCTAATAGTTAAAGAGCAAGGTAGATTCTGGAAATATAAAATAACAAATTATGTGATATGGTTTAGTCACTAAATCATGTAGCAGTTTGAAAGAATAAAGTCATTACCTTGGATGAAGAAAATAGGAAAAATCTTCATAGAATAGAGTTTCAGTTTCAATTCTAATCAGCTAGAGGGGCTTCTCCTGAACATTCAGTTTTTTCTTGCTATTAATAGTTGAATTAACCTGGTAAGCCCATCAAATTTTTGTCTTCATGTAGAATTTTTTTATGTACATGTTTTTATTTGAATACCAGTTTTTATTCTTTTGGTCCCACATTTATTCTTTCAGTTCATTTTTTGTGTTTAAAAAAATAACAAAATTTATCTCCCTAATCATTTTTAAGTGTACAGTTCAGTAGTGTTAAGTATATTCACACTGTTGTCAAACAGATCTTTAGAACTTTTTCATCTGGTAGAACTAAAATTCTTTATCCATTAAATGCCTCTGTTCCCCCTCCCTGCAGCCCCTGGTTATGATTATTCTATTTCCTGTCTCCATGAAATAGACTATGTTAGATATATCCCTCATATAAGTGGGATCAGAGAGTGTTTGTCTTTTTGGCTCATTTCACTTGGCATAATGTCCTCAAGGTTCATCCATGTTGTAGCATGTGATACAATTTCCTTTCCTTTTTAGTTTTCTTTCAGAGTTACTTAAAAAAATTTTTATACAAAAAATACAAAAAGCTGTACATAACTAATGCAGACAAATTAAGGAGTTAGAAATAAGTATACACCTGTGATCATCATTGCAATCTATGCCATAAACCTGTCCATCACTTTTAGAAGTTTTCTCCCACCTTCTCACTTGTTATTATTTTAGGTTGTTTTTTTATTTATCTTTTATTATTTTAAAAAAATATTTTAAAGATTT